GTTTCCTTTTGCAGCTCTCACCTTTTAATTAATCATGCACTTTCTTTTATTTTGTTTCTTTAATTTCTCTAAATATTTTAGTTTCCTGCTGATATCACTTCTTCCAACTTCACCCACACATTTCATAGATCGCTCTTTTTTAATCCGTCTTTAGTTCCTTCCGTAACTTTGATGGAGGATAAAACTCCCAGTGAGACACCATAAATGGCAATTTGCACAGTCTCTCTGAACGTTTTCTGTCGACCTTCTGTCAAAATTATAGCACAAGTCCAGGGAACATCTTCTTCTTAATGTTTAGCTAAGGCAGGTTATGTAAGCTTTGAATCAAATTAGCATACTTATAAAATATGTGTCAGACATTCAAGAAACATCTGAAACATTTTATATACCTGATGTGCACAATCAAAATGGATTCACACATCATTCAGTGACAAATAGAGATGATGTGAGACTCCCAGTTATCATGTTGTGTCTCACATCAGTATGTTGGTATACCTTTAAGAGGCATGCTCATGAAATCATCACTCAGCCCAACATTGAATTCAGGGCATAACAATCTTATATTCCACCTTACCTCAGGCTACTTGAAACATGCCTTTCTACTGGAAGCATGGTCCTCTGCCATATGCTAATTTTAATATTAGCCTGGCCATTTAGCTGCCTTAGGAGTGCAATGTTTGTATATTGTAGTCTGTTGGATTCTTCAATACCATGTCTAGTTTCTTCTGTTTTAGGAGCTAACATAAGCATTGCTGCAACAGGCAGAATACCTATCTGGAGGCATTTCACTCCCACATCCTTCAAGATTTAGTGGAAAAGCAATTTTGGGTGCATATCAACGTAATAACAGTAGATTAATTCCAGCTTCAGATCTTCACTTTGACTCTGAAGCAAACTAACGGTAAACTCTGTGAAATTGCTTCTCCAGTAGATCATCACACATCACTTGATCTTCATACAGAGTGAACAATGTGAAGATGATTTCTCTGGACGCCTTATAAACCTACAGTTCACACTTAAATCATAAAAATATTTGGCAAGCGAGGAATGGTAAAGCAAACAGAGTATTAGGATGTAAGGTTAGTTTTTTTTAATAAAAAGTATAGTGGCTGAAAATGAAGTTTGTTTGAGACATAAAAATTACCTTTCCTTTCCCATCTTATACCTTCACTGACATAGAATTTCACCCTCATATAGGAACTTAGTTGGGCACCATCTAAAATGTTGTGCCTAGTTTTGGCCTTTTCACTTGAAGAGGATACTATGAGCTGGAATGGTTTCAGAGGAAGCTGCTAGTTTATCACAGTCTAAAAACACATAGCTATCAGGATAGACTCAGGGAGTTGGATCTCTAAAGCTGGTGAAACATAATTTTAAGGAGCTATGACTGAAGTATTTAAAGTGACAAAGTGAGTGTGTACATCTGGGTTGATTAATTGAATTACATAAATTAGGGAAAAAACAGTATACAAGCAGCATCAGCACCGAACTGCGTTAGATGTCAGAAGGCTTTCCTTTTCCCAGGTGATTACTGACTTTCAGGATTCAGTTTTTCCAATGGATACGGATTTGCAGGAAACATTCTAAAAGGAGCTTGATAAATTCCTACAGGACTCTGATATCATATGTATAAAAGTTTGTAGGACCCTGAGTAGTGTTATTCCTGAGTCGTCGTTGTTTCCTGGAACTTCATTTGTTTTGCTATGGAGAGAAATATCTCAAAATTGTTTCTTCTTCCAAATGGCTTCTTATTTATTTTTATGTGTTAGGAAATGACATGGCTGCTGGTGAGTGGGAGTCTGGGGGATGGTGTTACTTAGCTGCCTCATGGTTAAATGGGGCAGACTCAATGTACTGAGTATCTCTTTTGTCTGCTCTTTTATATTATTTTGTTATTTTTGGCAGTGTGAACAATATGAAATAATATATCCACTTTGCACAAATGCCTTTCTTAGTTCACTAGGACTTTTTAAACCCCAGGTTTTTCATGGGAGAATAGTGATCTCATTGTGTTGCTTTTAAACTGATATAAATTTTAGTCAGCTTAAATGTTTTTGGATCAACAGTCAATGCACAGTTATCAAAAGTACACTGAAATTTGACCTTTGTATTGTCAATTTAGAGAGACACTTCCCTGCATTACCCATCTCTTGCCAGATTTCAAAATTGACAGTTTATGTGTTTGTAGCGTTGTAATCATTATTAAAGGAACACATTTCATCACACATTTCTCATCTATAAATCCTAGCATTCGTCATTAATTTTATGCTGTTTAACTGTTTAATGGTAATGTCAATGCAGCCAGTGAAAGACTATCTAAATTTCAACTTGTTTTCTACACATTAATGTTGGTGTAGTCAGCTAAAACTCTGGATTTCATCTCACACTCTAATGTAGTGCATTAAAAAAAATGCTTGCTGCTCCTTGCTGGGCTAACGTTGAACATTTGTTCATCACACAGTGAAGAACTGCAGATGCTGGAGATTTGAAATGAAACAGAAATTCTGGAGAAACTCAGCAGGTCTAGCACCATTTGTGGAGAGAAAACAGAGTTAACATTTCACATACATTAACCCTTCATCAGGACTTGTTCATCATAGCTGGTTGCTTGGGGATCTCAACTGTTTTCACCCAAAGAACTAAATTCAAACATAGTTGGCAGAAGCACAATCTGGCATGAACCTCATGCATCACTGATTCACTCACAGTCATGATGTTCTTTCATTGAAATTATGTTTCCCATTCTTAGACAGATCCTAGAGCCCAAGCCTGACCTGCAAAATATGTTGTACTAGTTTCCTCAGCCAACAAACACTACTGAGACTTGACCAGTATCAGTGTTACAGCAGCACGAAAACAAGATATTCCCTGGTCAATTAATCCATGGAAGTTTATTTTATATCAGGGAGAAATATTTTTTAAAAAGCAGGTTAAAGGTCTCCTTGGAACTATTATTAAATAAGGGGATTTGATGTTGTGTTAATAATGATGAGTCATCAAACAGAAAAGCTTCACCTAGAATTAGATCTTAAATTTAACCTAATGATCAAGAAGATTGCAAGTACATGATTAAACATATCAAAAAACAAAATGGACAGAGTTTACCTGAACTCCTAACAAGTTGCAGGTTTTCAGTCTATTGATGGTTTGCAGCACAGGATAACCACTGTTTTGATCAGGTGAGCAGAGGTGAATTAGCTCCCCTTTTATAATACCCCTTGGTTGGTGCAACAAGGGTTTTTAATTCATTTAACATGTAGCTATATCGCACTTCAATCAAATGCAGTACTTGTCAAAATTAAGGGGTCAATTACAAGGTTTTACTGAAAGTAAAAGGAATGTTAATACTTTGAAATGCTAAGAAAAATGATAAAATATGACATCCAACATACTCAAACAAAGGTATAAAGTTTAAAAATGAAGAGTGTCTACAATAAAAAGGAAGATCAAAAATGGGCTGTTTAAAAAAACGTCCTTAGTGTTCTTCAGACGTTAGGTTTAATCAGAGACCATGGTTATTAAATTGATGTCTTGTATACTAAGGAGCAGCAAAATGGCAAAAAGACCTCAGACAGTGGTCTTTCCTCCGTGTGCCTTGGCAGCAGCTGCCCCAAGCTTTAGTGCGTCCCTCAGCACGTAGTCCTGAACTTTGGAATGTGCCAGTCTGCACCACTCGGTCGAGGTCAGCTCCTTGCTCTGGAAGACCAGCAAGTTTCAGGCATCTTTCAATAAATTGATGGTCTTCCAGGCAGAGTATATGTTTGTCTTGGTGTGCGGCCTGGTGAACGGACCTTACAGCACAGAGTCCTGCGTCATGGAGCTGCTTAGGACAAAACATCAACAAAAACCACCACATCTCTCTCCAGACTTCCTTTCCAAAGGCACATTCCAGCAGGACATGTGTGACAGTCTCTATCCCTCTGCAGCTGCTTCAAGCGCAACGTACGGTGGCACAGAGAGTCCGGGCGTACGTGAAGGATCTCACAGGTAGTGCCCTTCTCACCACCAGCCAAGCAAAATCTTGGTGCTTGTTGGAAAATTCTGGTGATGAGGCATTCTGCCAAGTGGCAGTCTGATCAGGGAACAACCTGACAGGATCCACTCTCCCCTTTTCCCGCAAGGTCTTGAAGGATACTACCTGCTGACCACTTCCCGATGAACTTGTGGTCAAAGGTGTTTTTTTTGTGCAAATTCCTCCATAAAAGGCTCGTGATATGGGACAGTAAAACTACTTGGAGCGTTCTGCAGCAACAAGGCAAGACCATCCTTCGCAACGATGGGGACAGGTAGAATCTCAGTACATAGTGACATCTGGTGTTAGCATCCTGAGGGTCTACATACAGCTTGATCCAGATACACACAAAAGTGGCCATGAGAATGACGGCAGTGTTGGGTATGTTCTCTGCCTCTCCCCCTCCTTATCCAGAGCTTTGCACATGATGTACCGGTGGACACAGTCCATCTCAGACCTCCAGATGATATGGAAGATGGCTCGGGTGACTGCAACAGTGCAGGTTCTGGGAATGGGCAGGACCTGGGCCACGTACAACAACAAAAAGTTCCTCACATCTGATGACCAGGCTTTTCCTGCAATGGGGAGGGAATGGTGTTTCCAAAAGCCCACTTTCTGTCTCACTTTGGTGATACGCTCCACCCAGGTTTTAGTGCACACCCCATTCAAACTGGTCAGATGGTTGTGAATCTGTGCACTGACAACAGATCTAAGCAGATGTTTATTGGTACCTTCATGAACTGGCTCAATCTGTGGTGAGGTATTCACTGTGGCCATCTTAAGTCAGTGTTTTGTCCTTTTGTAAAAACCATTTTAGTGCGTGACAGGTCCCAGTTATTTAAAATCAAATGATGGAACTGATTGATAATCAACAAACTTATGGTCAGTTTTTACAACTATCATAACACCATGCAATTGAAACATGTGTCCAAAATCATCTTAGCTTTATTAATATGCAAATATAATTGCTTGAATTGTTAGTGAGAACATTAAGAGAACTTAATACCTATCTTTGAGTAATGCAATGAAATCTTTAATATCCAAATAGGCAGACTTTGGGCCAACCTTGTTCAATAAAAATCATTTCCACAAAGTTTTACAAAGATTCTTTATCTTGTTTAGAGACACACAATACAACATGAATCATGTTAAAATTAATTAACTGTGTGAAACTGTTACAAACATTTAAAACCTCAACCCTTTGTCTACATTATTTTTATGTGGGCTCCGTTCATCTGTGTGGCCCAATGGTTGTGTGATTCCACACCACAGGTTTTCTATCTTGTTAGATATTAATCAGTCCACCTTCACCGCACTACTGCAGTTCCTGATTCTCTTATGATAGCCTCAGACAGCTGCATAGTGGAGTAGGGACATGCTCCACCAGCTGATGATTGGATTGGATGTCTAGGTTTTCTACAATTTCAAGGAGAATGTAATATGAGACAGCGACACCTGTGCTGCTGTTCTTGCAATCCTGCGTTTTATTACTGCAGCCTTCTGAATCACACAGTATTTACAGGAGGTCTGCTCATACTTTCTTTCTTGTGTGTGGTATTCTGAAAGGGATCAGCACCTGTAGTCATATTTTCTTTATGTCTTTAATGGAAACATGTTGAAAATGTCCATTCTTGCACATCCATGACATCATAAAACTGTAGAATACTTTTATATGTCTGTTTAGGAGAAAAGAACTGTGAGAGGGTAGGATTTTTTTCAGCAATGGCGGCAATATTTTTGGGGATTTGTCAAAGCAACTGGTTAGGTGGTTAATAGTGATACTATTCTGACGTTTGTCTTCTATTATGTTGGCACTGGTAGTCCTTAGCTGAAGTGTAGCTGCCTGAAATTGATCAGAAATATATAATTTTGACAGTTTCAGTCAGATGCATTTATTATCTCACAATGTTCTATTTTTCATCCCATAATATGACTTCATTTGACAGCAATGGTTCTCTAATTTTTTTGCCTCTATCGATTTTCTCCCTGATCCCTCTTAAGAAACTGTTGACACTTGCTCAGCTTTTGTTCAACGAGCAATACACCAAAGCGACAATTATTCCTGTGTAAGATTCTACATTATTGCCCTCTCTCAGATCCTAATCCAGCCATGACTTGATACCACCAATGTGAGCGTGGTGCAGGGGTCATTGCATAGTTGTCACGAGTGACAAATCTCATTGATATTCCCCTCTCTAATCCAGGAAAGGGAAAGTTAATATTAGTTAATTAAGAACTAATATGGGACAAAAATTTTTCTAGATTGTGAAGCTCAGCAACTTACTAAATATATTTGGTGAACAATTAGTGGAGAAAGTTTGAATCAAAGTACTCAATGGTATTAAAGGATATTTAGATGTTTCATGAATACTGCATTGGAATTTATTCATTTTCATATCTAACATAATTGGTAAATTTCTGGTTTTGATATACCAGTATAAGTAATACAAATATTCACCAATAACACTTCTTCTTTGACCATTTGTAGATTATCAAGCTTCTACACAATGGGTCTTTCAACAATAATTTATTGCCGGAAACTACATGAAATCACTTACCATATTCATTACTCGATCATTAACCAAAAATTGCAGAAATAGATCAAGGGAATAAATATAAGGGACATGGAATATCATGTGGCTTCGGTTAGTGTTGGCTCATCCTCGAAGAAGAATGATGAAATAGCTTTTAAATAAACAACATTGTTGCTCAAATCAAACACATTTTTAAGAACTAAGGTGAAGAATGGTAATAAAATTTAGGAGAAAACTACCTAAAATGATAATATAAACAATCATGTAGTTTATGTACATGACCAATATATTTCCTGTTCTTAAAAAATTATGATCACAATCTAAATTTTAATATTTCCCTCCACAATCTACTACCACGTCCCACACAGTACATTTTCCTAACCTTTATTGTGTAGTTTTTCATTATAGTGTTCCTTCTCATATAAAATAATGCACTTTTGGATGTTTTGTATTATTGTATTACCATTGCGGTTTTGGAAATGTACAATTTAATTCCGTTTCTTTGTTTTTTGCCGCTCTGATGAGTGCTTAAAATATCCTTCTGAAAAAAAAAAAGATTTTTTAAAATATGTTTATTTAGTTAAAAAAATTTATTAAATTCAATGGTATAAAGCACTCTAGGTACGACACTCATAAAGCTCAGTCGCTGAATGATACATAACGAATCAATAGAAACAGCAACATTTAATACCTTGCAATAGTATATAGAGCAGTTTAAATTATCAAGCAGTATAACAGAAAAACTCAAATTATAACTCATAATTAAAATAGCAATATGTATGCAGTTAATAAATATTTGTTTCTCATCTATTTTTAATAGGTACTGAATTTAGTTAAAATAAATTTTCTGTAAGATTTCTCATATTATACATACAATTTAAACCTGGCATTGCTGAACTTCTGGCTAACTAAAACAAAAAAAAAATCAATAACTGGAGAAACTCAGCAGATCTGGCAGTATCTGTGGAGAGAAAGAAAGTCAACATTTCAGGTTTTGTGGGCCTTCTTCTGGACCCAAAATGTTGACTCTGCTTTCTCTCCACAGGGACTGCCAGACCTGCTGAATTTCTCCAGCAATTTCTGTTTTTGTTTCAGATTTCCACTATCTGCAGTTCTTCTTTTTGTTTCTGACTAGTTGCATTGCGTTCTCACAGTGATGAGACACTCATGTGATTTATGGTCATGGCACATGCTTCAAGAATGCTTTAAATGATTTTTATGGAACGGAATGCAACAAACAAGTCAGTTAGACCAGGTCTACATATATCCAACAGCATGCAGACCACAAATCAACATTGCTAAATATTCTTCTCTTCTGATAAATTTCCACAAAACAAGATATTCATGAAGGTATCTTCATAGACATCTCAAACTGGAATATTGACAAACAAATCAGATTTTAATAGAGTTCACTGGACATATTTGAACTATGATGAAATGGCAGATTCAAAATGATGATTTAATTTCTCCTGTTGCCTCAGGTACACGTTTCTCACCAGCTTACACCATGTGCAGTTGGCATCAATTTAAAGCTTGCAATAGCATACCACATTGTCAGTCCGACTTTTGTTGTACCTCATATTCTGATTGCTGAGAGAACATTAAATACATCAATTGTTGACAAATGTATTAATTCCAATCAGTTCAAATATCAAGAGGACATGTGCAAGAATGGAATTACAAACAAAAGTCCTGGAAATACTAGGCAGTCCAGACAATGTCTGTACAGACAGGAACAGATAATGTCGGTGATTTTCACATTTTCAAGCGAAAGTGGGAGAGTTTCCAGGTGAGACATCCATGACCCATAAGACATAGGAGGAGAAATAGATTATTAACCCCATAAAGTCTGCCATTCAATGATTAAGGTGAGGCAGTAAGCTGGATCTTCCAGCAATGAGGCAATCAATTGGCTGTTGGTGGGTTTTCTGTCGGAGTTAGAATCCCAGAACAGGACATTCCACTCGTTTAAAGCTGCCAGCCAATCAGGGGGCTGGCAGCACCAAGACCTGTCACCACCACGGCAGAGGCAGCGGCTACTTGACTCTGAGACACCGCAGCTGGAAAAAATCGATGCAGTTTGGTGGGCAAGGGGGAGTTTCCGGGTTTTGGGGAGAATAGGACAGGGGCATCAGAAGCAAGGCCAGAGACATGGCTCTCAATGTCTGTACCCCATGTCTAGGCCCTTGATCTTGCAGAGATTAGCATAGCTTGAGGCCTCTTCTCCCACGCACTGAACTGGCAGTTTGCCCACACCGGTTTACCACTTAAATTCTTCCTTGATCTGTTCGGAGATAAAGCAATTGCAAGCCCAAGGAGGAAATGTGGCCCTTAAGTGGTCATTAATTGGATCAATTGGTGACAGAGCAGGTCCATGAAGTTTGGGCCTTCCCGCCCAGACCTCAGAAATGCTGTGGTGGTACAAAGCCAACAGACATCTCCCCAAACAACCTGCCCAACAATATTCCCCTCATGTCACCTTCTCCACCACCTTTCAGGAGGGGTAGATTCTGCCTGATGTTTCAGATCTGTGGCCTTTGTCAGAACTGGAAAATGTTATGGCTGCAACAGGTCTAATAAGAACATAGGAGAAAAAGGGGGATGGGGAGAAAAGAGAGTGTATTTGATAGGATAAAAGTTTGGGGAGATTAAATGCATAGCAAAATCATTACCAGCGTCTTGTTCCTTGAAATAAAACAGAGCAGTTGTTACAATCTGAAACTAATCAACATGATGTTGAGTTCAGAGTTCATAAAATGCCTAATCAAAAGTTAAGGTGCTGGTTCTTAAGTTACTTAAGCTTCATTATAACAATGTAGGGTTTGAGGATAGAAATGTAAGAGAGAGGGATAGAAATTTAAAATGGAAAGTGACCAGAAACTTAGGATCAAGCTTGTAGACTGAACATATTGCTTGATACAGTCTGGTGGTGGATAATGAAACAACTCACGAGAGCAGGAGGTTCCATGAATGTTCCCTCTATAATGACGGGGAGCACAGCAAAACAGCGCAAAAGATAAAGCAAAAGCATTTGCAACAACCATCAGCCCGAAGTGCCAAGTGGATGATCACCTTGGCCACCATCAGAAGTCCTCAGCATCACAAATGCCAGTCGTTAGCCAATTCAGTTCACTCCACATTATATCAGGGAACAGTTGGAGGCACTGAACACTACTAAGGCTGTGGGCCCTGATAATATTCTAGCAATAGTACTGAAGACTTGGCCTCCAGAACTTGCCAGATCCCGAGCCAGCTACAACCCTGGCATCTAACCATGTGGAGAACTGCCCAGGTGGTTCCTGTACACAAAAACCAGGACAAATCCAACCCAACCAATTACCACCCCATCTACTCTCAATCATCAGTAAAGTGATAGAAGATGCTACAGACAGAGCGATCAAGCAGTACCTGTTTAGCAATAACTTGCTCACTGAGGCTTAGCTTGTGTTCATCAAGGGCCATTCAAATCCTGATCTTATTGCAGCCTTAGCTCAAACTTGGAAAAAAGATCTGAATACTAGAGGTGAGGTGAGAATGATTGCCCTTGACATCAAAGCTGCATTTGACCAAGTGTGACAGCAAGGAGCCTGAGCAAAACAGGGGTCAATGGGATTCAAGGAACTCACTGCTGGTGGAAGAAGAGCCTAGCACAAAGGAAGATAGTTATGATTATTGGGCATCGGTCATTTCAGTTCCAGGACATCTATGCAAGAGTTCCTTAGGGTAGTGACCTAGGCTCAACCATCTTCAGCTGCTTCAGAAAATTACATTCCCTCCATCATTAAAGATCAGAAGTGGGCATGTTTGCTTATGTTTGTACAATGTTTAGCATCATTCACAACTCCTCAGGTATTGAAGCAGGCCATGTCAAAATGCAGCACGACCTTGATTGTATCCAGGTTTGTGCTGACAAGTGGCAAGTAACATTTGTACCACACAAGTGCCAGACAATAACCATCTCCAACAAGACAGAATCTAACAATAACCCTTGACGTTAAATGTTATTATCACTGCTGAATCATCTACAATTAACATACTGGTGTTACCATTGATCATAAACCGAAATGGACTAGCCATTTAAATAACGTGTTTACAAGAAGAGGTCAGAAACTAGGAATACTGCAGTGAGTAACTCACCTCCTTACTCCCCAAAACCTGTCCACCATTACAATTCAGCAATATAATGGGATACCCCCTCACTTGACTGGATCAATGTAGTTCCTACAAGACTCAGGAAGCTTGACACGATTCTGAATAAAGCAGCTCTTTTGACTGGCTCCAAATCACAAATATTCACATGTTTCACCATGGAACTCAGTAGCAGCAATGTGTACCATCTGCCAGGATAATCAAGGATCCTTAATTAGCACCTTCCAAACACATGATCACTACCATTGAAGGTCAAGAGCAGAAGATACATGGGACCACCACTACCTGGAAGTTTATTTCCAAGCTATTCACCTTCCTGACTTGGAAATATATCACCATGTTTTCAGTGTCTCTGAGTTATCCTGGAAACCCCTCTCAAATGGGTATATCTACAGCAAATGGACTTCAGATCGCCACCACCTTCTCAAGACGAATTTTTTAAAATTCACTCATGGGACATGAGCATCATTGGCTGGGCAAACATTTATTGCCTATTTCTAATTGCCCTTGAGAAGTTGCCTTCTTGAAAAACTGCAGTCCATGTGTTGTAGGTTGACCCACAATGCTGTTAGGGAGGGAATTCTTACCCAGCGACAGTGAAAGAATGGCAATATATTTCAAAGTCAGGAGTTCATGAATGTTTGAGGATATGGTGCCAATTAAATGGGCTGCTTTGTGCTGGATGGTGCCAAACTTCTTGAGTGTTGTTGGAGCTGCACTCATCCAGGCAAATGGGGAGCGTTCCTTCACTCTCCTGACTTGTGCCTTGTAGATAGTGGACATGTTTTGGAGAGTCAAGAGATGAGTTACTCACAGCAGTATTTCTAGCCTCTGACCTGCTCTTGTAACCACTGTATTTATGTTGTGAATCCAGTTGAGTTTCTGGTGAATGTTAAGCCCCCAGGATGTTGATAGTGAGGGAATTAGTGATGGTAGCACTGTTGAATATCAAGAACTGGTGGTTAAATTGTCTCTTATTAGAGATGGTCATTGCCTGGAATTTGTGAATGTAATTTATCACATTTCAGTCCAAGCCTGAATATTGTTCAGGTTTTGTTATACTTGGACATGGGTCTCTTCAGAAAACTGAAAGAACTGTGAATGCTGTAAATCAGGAACAAAAACAAAGTTGCTGGAAAAGCTCAGCAGATTTAGCAGCATCTGTGAAGGAAAAGACAGAGTTAACGTTTCGGGTCCGGTGACCCTTCCTCAGAACTGATGGTGGCTGGGAAATCATCAGTTTATATGCAGAAAAAAGTGGGAGGGGGATGGGGTAGGGAGTAAACGACAGGATAGAGCCTAAAGAGAGAGAAGAGCAGTTGGACAGACAAAGAGTTGGTAACGATCAGGCTGGGAGGGTGAACAGTTGTTAATGGGGACTATTAGTGAGTAATAACAGGTAGTGTGTAAAGGCAGGCTATGTGGTAACAAGGCCTGGTGTATGGGGTAGGGGGCTGGGACATGGGAGAGTTTAGGCCCTAAAATTATTGAACTCAAAGTCTCTTCAGTATCTGAGGAGTTGCAAACGGTGCTGAACATTGTAGAATCATTGGTGAACATCCCCACTTCTGACCTTATAATGGAGGGAAGGTCATTGCTAGGTCAGCTGAAGGTGTTTGGGCCTTGGACACCACCCTGAAGAACTCTTGCAGATATGTTCTGCATATGAGACTGACCTCCAACAACCGCAAAGATCTTCCTATGTACCAGATGATACTCCAACTAGCAGAGAGTTTTCTCACTGATTCCCTTTGAGTCCAGCTTTGCTCGGGCTCCTTGATGCCACACACAGTCATGTGCAGCCTTAATATCAAGGGCTGTCACTCTTATCTCATGGTGATGTGCAAAAATGCTGGCCCAGCTAGTGCTACCCACATCCCATGAATGAATTGAAAAAAAGTTACACAATCCCTCGTGTAGGACAGAATGCATTGTGACACCAAACACAATACAGCACCAACTGGAAGAAATACAAGTAAACTGCTGTTTCACTTGGCAGGAGAGTTTGGAACCCTGGACCACAGTAAGGGAAGAGGTGGAGGAACAGCTATTCTATCTCCTGCATGGGAAAGTGCAGTCTTGGTATGAAGGGGGGAGGAGCAAACAATATGTTTAGTTGGGGTAGGAACTGTGGCCTTCAAGAAGCACAATGGGAGGTAGTGTAATAATCAAGGTCACTGCAACAGTTACTGGGTTCAATGTAAACATTGCTTGACAACCTATTCCACAGACAGGGATAGAGAAGTTAATAAAGAGAAGGGAAGGAAGAGTCAGAGCTGAACCAAGTGAAGGTTAATCTATAAGAATTAGGATAGCCTGCTGTACCAGGGAAAATATAAAAGTGATATGCTTCTTATTTTAAAACATGCCTGAAAATACAAAAGTGATCTGTTTCTTATTTTAAAACAGTCTGAAAAACATAGGGTTCCAAGAATATTACCTCTTAGCTGTCCATCTCATTGCTGATCAGGAGTCAGGATTTACTTCAAACTAAACCAAGTGATTATACATCCCTGCATGATGACATGGAATGATGCATAACACATGTTAAAAAAAACTCTCATTGGGTCACTTGCCTTAAATTAAGAATGAACTGGACAGAGAGTAAATTATGCACTTTTACACACTTGCCTTTGATTACTGTTGATCCTACCAGCATGACTCTGAAGTCCATAGTCAATTATTCACCAGCCCAGCAGATGGCTCTGCTCTAAGGTTCCACCTAAACTTTCCCAATGGCAAAATAGGGATGAACACTCATGTATTTTTTCATCTTCTATTTTAACAGAGCCTTCAGATAATTAATTACAAATGAAAATTGACATCAAGACTGCATTTCAACAAGCGTGAAATCAAAGTGCCCCAGCAAAACAGGAATCAGTGGAAATCAGGGGGAAACTCTCCACTGGTTGGTGTCATGTCAAAAAAAGGAAGGTGGTTGTGGTTGTCGCCATCATAACTTCAGGAGCTCTTCAAGGTAGTGCCCTAAGCCCATCTTCAGGTGTATGATCAATGACCTATCGTCCATCAAAAGGTCAAAAGAGAGGATTTCACTGATGACTGCAGAATGTTCAGCGCCACTTGTGACTCCTCAAATACAGATCTACAAATGGAAACAGACCTAGACAATGTTGATTGATTGATTTATTGTTGTTGCATGAGATACAGTGAAAAGTGTTATTTTGTGTGCTATACAGGCAGATCGTACCATACAAAGTGCATCAGGGTATTTGAGAGGTCCATTCAAAAGTCTGATAACCATGGGGAAGAAGCTGTTCTTGAATCTATTCTTTAGTGTAGTGGGTGTATTGTTAGGGTCGAAGAGAGTATAACCAGGGTGGGAGGGATCTTTGACTATGTTGGTTGCTTTCCCGAGTCAGTGGTAAGTACAGATGGAGTCAATGGATTAAGGGCTCATTTACATTATGGACTGAGCTGTGTTCATGACTCTTTGTAGTTTCTTGACCTCTTGGGAACAGCAGTTGCCACACCACACTGTGATGCATTTGGTTAGGATGCTTTCCATGGTGCATCTATAAAAAAATGATAAGAATCTTTGTGAACATGCTGAATTTCCTTTGCCTCCCGGGGAAGTAGAGATGTTGTCAATACAGTGTGGAGCTGGAAGAACACAGCAGGTCAGGCAGCATCAGAGCAGCAGGAAAGTCAACATTTTGGGTTTACACCCTTCATCAGGACCTTTGTTGTGCTTTCTTGACTGTTGTATTGACGTGGGTGGTCCAAGACAGATTGTTGGTGATCATCACTCCCAGGAACTTGACCATCTTGACCATCTCCACCTCAGTGTGCCCTCGACTCTGCTTCCTTAAGTCAATGACCAGCTCTTTCATTTTGCTAACATTGGTGGAGAGATTGTTGTCTTTATATCATGCCGCTAAGCAGTCAGTCTCTTTCCTGAATTCTGTCTCGTTTATTGTTTGAGATCCGAACTACAACAACGGTATTGTCAGCAAACTTGTAAATGGAGTTTACAATGGAATTTGGCCACACTGTCATGAGTGTATAAGAATGTCCAGTTTGGATAAGTAACATTTGCACCAGACAAATGCTACGAAATGACAATTTCCAACAAAAGGAAATCTAACCATTGCCCCTGGACATTCAATGGTATCACTGTCACTGAATTTCCTACTATCAGCAACCTGGGGATTACCATTGGCCACAAACTGAACTGGATTCATCATGTAAATACAGTGGACACAAGAACAGGTGAGAGGCTAGGAATACTGCAGCAAGTAACTCACATCTGACTCCTCGAAGCCTCACCAACACCCCCAAGGCACAAATCAGGTGTGTGGTAGAATATTCCTCTCTTGCCTGGATGAGTGCAGCTTCAACAACACTTAACAAAATCCAGGACAAAACAGCCCACTCGTTTGGCACGATATCCACAAACATTCACTCACTCCAACACTGACACTCTAAAAGCAGTGTGCACTACCTGCAACATGCACCGTAGAAATTCACCAGAGATCCTTAGACAGCACCCATCAAACCCATGATCGCTTCCATTTAGAAGGACAAGGGTAGCAGCTACATGGGAATACCACCACCTGCAAGTTCCCCTACAGGACACTCACCATCCTGACTTGGAAATATATTGTCATTCCTTCGGGGTCGCTGGGTCAAAATCCTGGAATTCCCTCCGTAAGGGCATTGTGAGTCTATCTACAGCACGGGGACTACAGTGGTTCAAAAAGGCAGCTCACCACTGCCTCAAGGGTAAAAAGGCATGGATGATAAATCCTGGGCCAGCCAGTGATGCCCATATCCCATGAATAAATAAAAACATTTAAAAACGATACCCGTGTAAAGGGCAAAGAGATAACAAATAATCATATATCATATACTTCTGTATGGTATAGTGTGTAGCATTGTGAACAGTAATTTCAAATTTTGGAACTAAGCTGTTGTCTATTGCAGCATAATACTTGCATTCTTCACTGCATGTCTGTTGCAGGCTCGCCCATTATGATTTGGTGATTGATTTCAACACATGCATAAGCACCAACACAATCTAATGATGCTGTCACCTCACAACACAGTCTGTGATGATGTATATGATTGTCCATTTGCTTCGTTCTACAGCGAGGTTTATAATAAAGAATGGAGAAGGATTTAACACGTCCTTTCGGTGTGAAGAACCCCACGAAAAGATGATGACAGGTCTTTATGTAAATTAATGAAACTCCAAATTTGCGGGTCCAGACCCAGACATATTTGATAGACAACGTACACACTTTAAAGGTGGTCCCAAGGGCTAGCTCAGTGCATACTGCACTTGGTAATGTCATCACTTGTTCAGTTTCAGGGTCTTAGTACAGAAGAACAACAGAGTGTCCCAGCTCCTGTGTTTTCTTTTCAATTTCAGATTACTTGTCCAGCACAACAAGGAATTTAGAATTGGTCCATTTTCTTCTTTTGCTTAGAGCTCAGGCTAAATATGTGTACATATGAGGATGGAGAACCCTCCTTGATCCTAAAAAAAACCAAGCAGGATTGGCACCACATCCACAAACACTTACTCCCTGCACCACCAACATTCAATAGCAAAAATTTGTACCATCTACAAGATGCACTACAGAAATTCTCCCCAGCTTCCCTGCGAAAACTAGATAAGACTCCCCACTCTTGCACCCCACCAACATCCCTACTGACCTGTAAACCTTGGCTGCAAATATTGTTCATTTGATGAACCTGCTGTAAATTATTTACTAACATAACGAAGTCCATGAGTTTTTCATTAATTCTCATTGAGTTATTGAGGTCCACAGCACAGAAAACAGCCCCTCACCCCATCGAGTCTGTGCCAGTCAAAAACAACCACCTTATTATTCTAATTCTTAAGCAATTGACCCATAGCCTTGTATACCATGGCATCACAAGTGCACATCTAAATATTTCTTAAATGTTATGGTGTTATAAACCTCCTATCTCTTGCCTTAAATCTGTGCTCCAGTCATTGATCCCTCCACCAAGTTGCTTCCTGTCTATGCCCCTCATAATTTTATATACATCAATTATGCTCCCCCTCAGTCTCCCCTGCTTGGAGGAAAACAACACCACTCTGTCCACTCTCTCTTCATAACTAAAACTCTCCAGCTCAATCAATGTCCTGGTAAATCTCCTCTGGACCTTTTCCAGTGCAATGACATCCCTCCCAATGTGCATTCCAGAACTGCACTCAATGCTCTAGTTGTGATCTAACCAATGTTTTATACAGTTCCAGCATAACATTCATGTTCCAAGCCTCTGCTACTAAAGACCTTCTTCACCACTTTATCCACCTGACCCTCTACCTGTCAAATCATAGCATCATAGAGTCATACAGCACGGTAAAATGGTGCCCAAATGTGCCAAACTAAACTAGTCCCGTTTGCCCGCATTTGGCCTATGTCCCTCTAAACCTTTCCTATTCATGTACCTGTCCAAATGTATTTTAAATGTTATAACTGTACCTGCATCTACCACTTCCTCTGGCAGTTTGTTCCACATATGAAGGCATTCCGTCTGAAAAAGTTGCCCTTCAAGTCCCTTTTAAATCTTACTCCTCTCAGCTGTCGAAAACAGCAATGTGATACTGCCCAGACATTTTAATTTTCTGATGTTGATTGAGGGATAAAGAGAAAACTCTGTTCCATTTCTTTAAAATTGTGGTAAGGGACTTGTACCACTCAAGAGATGGAAAGTTTGTTTAGGAAGCTTGAAAGTCAAATGGAATATCAGCTTACCTGCCATTTCACGAAGAAAATTAGCAAAGATAATTGCTAAAAACACTGAAAATTAGTCCTCAGTAAAGGGCTCACCTTTATCCCCTTCCACCCTAACATCAACGAATACCGCTCATGCTTGGACGTTGAACGGTTTTTCTGCCGCCTCCGCCTCCGCGCTTACTTCTTCAATCGTGAGCCGAACCCTCCCTCTACTGACCCCTTCTCCCGCCTCTAACACACTCCCTCCTCCTGGACACCACCCCAAGGCCTCATACCCTCCCTCGACCTCTTCATCTCCAACTGCCATCGAGACATCAATCACCTCAACCTCTCCACCCCTCTCACCCACTCCAACCTCTCCCCCGCAGAACGTGCAGCCCTCTACTCCCTCCGCTCCAATCCCAACCTCACCATAAAACCCGCGGACAAGGAAGGCGCAGTTGTAGTATGGCGCACTGACTTCTACATCGCCGAGGCCAGACATCAGCTCTCTGACACCTCCTCCTACCGCCCCCTTGATCATGACCCCACCCCCGATCATTAAAACATCATTTCCCAAACCATCGACAACCTCATCACCTCAGGTAACCTCCCACCCACGGCCTCCAACCTCATCGTTCCCCAACCCCGCACCGCCCGTTTCTATCTCCTTCCCAAAATCCACAAACCTGACTGCCCTGGTCGACCCATTGTCTCCGCCTGCTCCTGCCCCACCGAACTTATCTCCACCTATCTCGACTCCATTTTCTCCCCATTGGTCCAGCAACTCCCCACCTACATCCGTGACACCACCCACGCCCTCCAC